GGGGGATCCAGAGTGAGGCTAACGGGTCAGAGTCTGAAGGGTATCTAGAGTGAGGCTAGTGGGGCAGAGTAAGAGTGGATACAGAGTCAGGGTTGCGGGGCAGAGTCTGAGGGGGATCCAGAGTGAGGCGACTGGGGAAGAGTCTGAGGGGAATCCAGATTGAGCCAAGTGGGGCAGAGTCTGAGGCCAATCCAGAGTCAGATGAGAGGGCAGATTATGAGGGGGATCCAGAGTGAGGCGAGTGGGGTAGAGTCTGAGGGGGATCCAGAGTTAAGCAATTGGGGCAGTGTCTGAATGGGATCCAGAGTGAGGCTAATGGGGCAGAGTCTTAGGGGATCCAGAGTGAGACTAGTGGGGCAGAGTCTGAGGGAGATCCAGAGTGACGCTAGTAGGGCAGAGTCTGTGGGAATCCAGAGTGAGGCTATAGGGCAGTAGTTCAGGGCGATTCAGAGTGAGGCAAGTGGGCATGTCTGAGGGGATCCAGAGTGAGGCTAACGGGGCAGAGGCTGAGGGGTATCCAGAGGGTGGTTCGTGGGGCAGAGTCTGAGGGGAATCCGGAGTGAGGCTAGTGGGACAGAATGTGAGGGAGATCCAGAATGAGGTGAGTGGGGCAGAGTCTGAGGGAGATCCAGAGTGGGGCAGAGTCTGAGGGGGATCCAGAGTGAGGCTAGTGGGGCAGAGTCTGAGGGGGATCCGAAGTGAGGCTTGTGGGGCAGTGTCTGAGGGGGATCCAGAATGAGGCTAATGTGGCAGTGTCTGAGGGGTATCTAGAGTGAGGCTGGTGGAGAGTTTGAAACAGGATAATTCAAACATTAAATATTAATATCGGAGTCCTGTGGCTCAGTGGTTAGAGCACTCGCTTTGCAAGCGAGAGACCTGAGTTCAATTCCAGGCAGGGCGAAACCTTGGGCAAGTTTCCTTACTCCACATGCCTAATAATAATCCCTCCAAAACTAAAAACAATAATAAATTGGTCATTTTCAATCTACGACTGTTTGTGGGACATTGCTGTGCGCAATTGGCTGCCGCGTTTGTCCACAAATATACAGTCAATTCACTTTACAGTGTATTCTGTGAAGCGCTTTGGGACGTCCTCCCGACGTGAAAAGCGCTATATCAAATGCAAGGATTATTATTATTATTATTATTAAGCAGCAGTGCAGTCGTGTGATGGTGAATCCAAAGTAAATGCAAAAATTAATGTAAATTTGGAAAAATAAATCCACCGAAAGGAGGGTAAAGCTATTGTGAAATGCAGTGTGAAAGTGTTGTAAATGTCAACAATGAGAGCCAGGTTTGTGTGGAAAATGAGGGCGAGCGGAATCTGCAGGATGTTAGTCAAAACACAGGGACCTGCTGCCAGGATCAGTTCATGAAAAGCTTGCCCCTACAAAAAAANCTCACAAAAATACACTGGAAATAGCAATCAACAAATCAGGAACAAAACAACCCATGGAAATCTCGTGAGTGAATTTATTGACTAACACATGAAATTAATTATGATCTCGCTTTGCTTTGCTTCTTCAGCTCTTATGGCCCTAACTTGAAATACTGAAGCAGGGAACAAAACAGTCAGAACGGTGGAAGAGATTGAAATTCATCAATTAGCTTACATCTGTGACATGCCCAATGTGAACGTTTAGAGACCCATCACACAAAAATTTTTGCTAAGTTAATTTTGTTAAACCTTTGACATTATTCAATGGCTGACAAGATTTATAAATGTTTTGAATAATCGAAACAATGATCTGCAATGTAGTAGCTTGTATTTATTTGTGAATAGCTCAGATCCAGAGATACCAAACAATAGACAATTTAAGAATGATGATTTTTTTGCATTTGATATAGCACTTATAATGTCAAGAATGTCTCAAAGAGTTGCAACACCAAGAATCAATGTACCAGTTTAATGGAAAAGGAATGATTGAAAAAGAGAAGAATATGGCAGAAAAGGTTGTTCTGGAAAATGACATCAATACAATACAAATTACATTTGTATAGGACATCCCAAGGGACAGTCGGGGATTTGGACCTGAGCTGGGGATTAGGATCAGGGAGGGTGGAAGGCAGGGAGGGTAGGAGGGTGGCTGAAGGCTCAGTTGAAGAGGAGGTTTTTGAAACGTGCCTTGAAGGAGGCAAGCGAGGGAATGTGAAGGGAATGTGGGATGGATTTCCATGGGGTGGAGGCAGAAAGACTGAAGGCCCAGCCGCTGATGGTGGCGCGACCTGAGCAGGGGACATGGAGAGGCCAAAACCTGCTGAGCGGAGGGAGCAGACAGATGGATATGGGGTTAACGAGCCAAGGAAGTAGGGAGGGGCAAGGCTGTGCAGGGCCTTGAAGGCAAGCACGAGGATTTGGGACTCCAATCTCTGGGGGATGGGGAGCCAGTGGTGCCGGTTGATGGTGGGGGTGATACGGTTACGGAGCCTGGTGTGGGAGAGGACATGAGCTGCATAGTTCTGGATGATCTGCAACTTGTGGAGAGAAGAGTTGGGAAGGCTGACAAGCAGAGAGTTGTGTAGTCAAGCCTAGATGTGATGAATGCGTGGATGAGGGTTTCGGTGGCCTGAGGAGTGAAGCAGTGGCAGAGCCGGAAGTTGTTGCAGAGGTGGGGGAAGTTGGAGCGGGCCATGGCATGGATGTGGGGTAGAAAGGATAGTTGAGGGTCAAACAAGATTCCAAAGTTCCAAACTGGCTCAGTGAGGTGGAGTGTGCATCTTTGGATGGTGATGCTGTCCATACCTGAGGTTTGATATAGCACCTTATCACATAATTGGGACGTCTCAAAGCACTTCACAGAATATACTGTAATTTTGACTGTATATTTTGTGGGCGAAATGTGGCAGCCAATTGCACACAACAATGTCCCACAAACAGTCAGGAATTGATTGACCAAATTATTATTTTTAAATTATTGAATAATTATTATATATTCTGCATGGGATAAATTCATATAAGATTATATATATTCATGGTTACCAATGCGAAAAATATTAATGCTGAATTAAGCATGTTGCATGTCAGCTTGAACATCAACAATTTACATATTTTGCCCTTTATGTAGGGTAATGTCTTGGAGTGCTCAAATACTTTTGTATTGTTATGAAGACATGTAGTCTATCTCTATTTAAGCTTTTTAAGTTTGACTGTGCATTGTTTATGTTGTAAATATATCTCTTTTGTGTTCTTAACCAATGCTGTTTTTTAACTTGATACAACTTTTAAATTGCCATCTGAAACAACAGCAGGCACACAATACACAGTCACTAGACACTATAATAAATCCTATGAAGCTCTTTCAGATATCTTCCTGATGTGAAAGACAACAATAACTGGTATTTATATAACATCCTTCACGTTGGGTAATGTCTCGGAGTGCTGGGCACTATATCAAATCCAAGGATTATTATTATCATCATATTTCTTTCAAAACCAACATTTTCCTGACTGTGAATAAAAATGGAGATGTCTCCCTCCATTTTATATTTTTAGGCAGAAAATAATGATATATGGACTGACTACAATTCTTAGGTTATAGCTGTAATCTGCTTGCATTTCCCAATGTAATAATAATAATAATCCTTGCATTTAATATTGCGCTTTTCACATCGGGAGGACGTCCCAAAGCGCTTCACAGAATATACTGTAAAGTGAATTGACTGTATATTTGTGGGCGACCGCGGCAGCCAATTGTGCACAGCAATGTCCCACAAACAGTCGTAGATTGAAAATGACCAATTTATTATAGTTTTTGGTTTTGGAGGGATTAATATTAGGCTTTGTGTGGAGTAAGGAAACTTGCCCAAGGTTTCGCCCTCTGCCTGGAATTGAACTCAGGTCTCTCACTTGCAAAGCGAGTGCTCTAACCACTGAGCTACAGGACTCCACGTAGATGTAAATGTTCATGCGTAACAATAGTCTATTTATAATATTATTATTAATATTGTGATTCATTCTGTGGCCCTTCTCAAATTTGTGCCATAATAGTGGGAGTGGACCTTCTATAGCCCTTTCCTTTCCTCCTTTTGTCGCATCTTTCATGCTCATTTTCCCCTCTCTTTAACTCACTTTTTTATACCTTTGCCAAACTCACACATTTCGGGTTTCTGTTGAAAGTTCTGCAATAGAAACGTCTTTGGAAAATAAGCTGCTTTCCGAAAACAACTAAATCTAATAATAATGTGGGTGTGGTTTTATTGAAATTATATAATTTATCTTCTATTAATGTAACTATAATTTCTGTCGGGTAGGGTTGTGGCATTCGACAGTATTACATACACCTGACGCAAATATTTGGTTCATTCGCACATTTCTCTCTTTCTCTGAGCCTTTGGGATAATCGTTATTGTTCATTATAGCGGTTTGAGATTGAGAAAGATATGTTTGGAACCAAACTGCCACGTTGTGTGGGTGGAGAAACAGAAACTACAATCAGAACATGTCCGATCCATCACCCATAAAAGGCTAATAAAATAAATTATTTTCATAATTTTTTTAAAAAAATTAAGTGTCCGAACATGTGCTTTTCTTCTAAACTCCTTTGATAATAAGAGTTATTATAGTAAGATTCCTCCACAGCAGTAGCCCCTATAATTGCGAATGACTCGAATAAATGCAAACCACTGAATCTTACTACGATCTCTGATGGTTCACTGTTTCCCTTCAACGCTATTTTTTGATCTGCCGAAGTGTTGCAAACTCAAAACTCTAAAGGCGTCGTTGAATGAGTGTTTGGTGTATTAATGTTGGGTAAAAGAACTCAGCGTTCTGTTATGAAAGGAAGGCATAGTTTTCACATCAATGTTGCTTTCTACTTAATGCAACGCTTTGAAGTTGTGCTTTTCTGCAAAGTGATGCAACTGAAGCTAACTCCACACTACGCGTTTGCTACCCTCGCAAACAGGCAGTGTACGTGGCAGCAGCTGTTTCAGCTTCATTACTTCATCACAAATCACTGCAAAAAAATTGGAGTGCCCCAGACATTGAAGTAACTCTGTGGGGTGGAGGGTGGTCACATCCAACTGGAAATGTTCTGGAAGCAGCGGACGCTCCTCCTCTGAGTCTTCTGCCTCCGGGGCTCAGACACACACTTTGCCTGTTCTCTTATTAGACACGTCACATCAGCCATCTCAGACTGCAACAGACGAAGATCGCCATCCTTTCCTTCCTGGACTAAAGTTGCACAGTTCTACAATGACTTCGGTAAAGCAAAGAAATAAAATTAATTCCGATCGAAGTTCTAGCGCTTCCCATGATGACGTGGCAAAGAAGAGCTGGAAGGGAAGCAAAGGGGGATCGGGATGGTGCTCAGTGGTCGGGAAGGTCCTGACTTTTCTCTTCTTCCTCGCTCTGAGCGGAGCGGCTGGTATGTTCGGCTGGTACATGCACAACCTCTCCGAGCAGATCAACCACTTAAACAGGAGGCACGAAGAAACGTCCCTTCAAAGCAATGAACTGGCAACGAAGGTGAAAGGTGTTCTGGTACAGGTGAGATGTTTTCCCATTTAACTTGAGCGACGCCTGTTCATGACCTGTATGATGATATGCTTCCCCAGTTTATCAAAGCACGATTAAAAATTAGGGCACGTTTTAAAAGCATTTCACATCGAATCTATTTCACTGCAAAATAGTCTGTTCCTCGGATACTTTAGTCAGCTATGTGCATGTATATTCCATTATTTAGAGTTCAGGTTGGAGATTTTTTTTAAATTTACCGATAATTATCACGGATAAGGTAAGACACAAGATTAAAAGTAAAATGCCTAATTTTGTATACCAATACTGTACTTGATAACCGAGGCAATAGTTGTCACATCATGCGCATCTGAGATAAATAGATTCTATAAGAATTCTATACGGATTTCTCTGAGCTATATCATTTAGTGAGAGCGTTCAGAGAATTTTAATAAAACATCTTGGGGAGCACAGTCAAAGTTTTTCCACTCTCAAAGTGTAGCTTCATGGCTAAGGGCCCAGAATTGGACACAATACTCCAGCTGAGGCCTAAACAATAACATAAATATTTAGCAGAACTTCCTGCTACCCTATGCCTCTATTTATAAAGCCAAAGATCCAATATGTTTCAACAGCTTTATCAACCTGCCCTATCTGTGTATGTGAAACTCCAGGTCCCTCTGCTCCTGCACACATTTAAAACTGTACCATTTATTGTATATAGCCTCTCCTCATTCTTCTTCTCAAAATGCACCACCTCACACTTCACTGCATTAAACTTTATCTGCCATGTGTCTGCCCATTTCACCAGTCTGTCTACCATGTTTACTACGTTCCCAAGTTTTGTGTCATCTGCAAACTTTAAAGTTTTACTCTTTATACCCAAGTCATTCACATATATCAAAAAGAGCGATGGACCTAATACTGACCCTGGGGGACACCAACTGTATACTTCCCTCCAGTCTGAAGAATAACCATGCACCATAACCCTCTGCTTTCTGTCTCCCAGCTGATTTCATAGCCATGTCCCTGTTATACCATGGGCTTCAATTTTGCTAAGTAGTCTATTGTGTGGCACCTTATCAAACACCTTCTGAAAATCCATATAAACAACAACTTGGATTTATATAGCACCCTCCTGGATGGCATCTCAGAGTGCTTCACAGTAACAGATCCCGGGGCCAAGCCAGGGGGAGGGGGAGGTAACCAAAGGCGCGATCGAAAAGAAAGGTCTTCAGCCGAGACCTGAAAATAGGAAGAGAGGGTGCGAGGAGAAGGGAGTGAGGAAGGGAGTTCCAGAGCCTCGGGGCGTAGTGGCTGAAGGCACGGCTTCTTATGGTGGAGCAGAGGATTCGGGGGACAAGGAGGAGGCCAGACCCGGTGGAGCGAAGGCAACGGGTACTGTTGTGAGGAGAGAGGAGGTCAGAGAGGTTAGGGGCTTCCAGAGGACTGGAGGGATTTGAAGACAACGGTGAGGATCTTGAAGTCGATCCTCTCTGGGACAGGCAGCCACTGCAGTCTGACAAGGAGTGGGGTTATTGGGGAGCGGAGTTTGGTGCGGGTGAGAATGCGGGCGGCAGAGTTTTGGATGATATACACTATATCAACAACAACAAAATTACATTTGTATAGTGCCTTTCACATAGAGGGGACGTCATAAGTCAGTGTTTCGGATTTGAGCTGGTGGTTGGGATTGGGAAGAGAGGAGGGTGATCGAAAGCGTGGTTGAAGAGGAAGGTCTTGAGATGAGTCTTGAAGGAGGCAAGAGAGAGGCAGAGGGACTGTGAGATGGAATTCTAGAGGGTGGGGTCTGAGTGTCAGAAGGTTCACCCGCTGAAGGTGGGGTGGGCGAGGCGGGGGATGTGAAGCAGGCTGGAGCCCACTGAGTGATCGGAGTGGGCAGGATGGTCGGGGTTTAGTGAGGCCATGGAGGGCTTTGAACGTGAGGACCAGGATCTATATTCTCTCCACTGTATCATCAAAGAACTCAATTAAGTTTGTCAGACACAATTTGCCTTTAACAAATCCGTGTTGACTGTCATTAATTAGCTTATGTTTTTCTAAGTGAAAATTAATTTTGTTCCAGATTATGGTCTCTAGAAGTTTCCCCACCACCGACATTAGGCTGACTAGCCTGCAGTTACCAGGTTTATCACTCTCCCCTTTTTTGAACAGGACGTAACATTTACAACCCTCCAGTCGTCAGGCACTAATCCCATATATCCAAGGAGGATTGAAAGATTTTGGCCAGAGTCTCCACTATTTCCACCCTAACTTCCCTTAACAATCTAGCAGCTGGGTAACTTTTCTACTTTGAATGCTCCTATTCTTTTACGTACCTCCTCTCTATCTATTTTTATCCTATCCAATTTCTCAATCTCCTCCTCCTTTACTGTGACATTGGCGGTATACTCTTTTGTGAAGACAGAAGCAAAGTATTCATTCAGTACCTCAGCCATGGCCTCTGCCTCCACAAGAAGTTTTCCCTGTTGGTCCCTAATCGGCCCCACCCTTGCTTTGACTATCCTTTTACTTTTTATGTGTTTATAGAAGACTTTAGGGCTCACTTTTATATTCCCTCTAATCTTTTCTCATACACTCTCTTTGCCACTCTTATTTCCTTTTTCAGTTCTCCTCTGCACTTCTGTATTCTGCTTGATTCTCTAATGTATTAATGAGAAGCTCCTTAGAGTGCCAATATGAGTTTCTTAGTCTTCTGAATGGTTTTGTATCAATGAGAGGATTAAAAAGAATCAAATTAGTTCACCTATTTATAAAGTATTCATCCCCCTACCTTCCAGGATAACTGCCATGGTCAAGAATACTTAGATGGCAGCTTCTACAAAAGTCCAATAGCCTATATTTTCTGAAAACTGAAACAATAAAACTTTGATTTTTTGTGATAGTAGGAGAGAAATTGATAAAATAATTTCTGTTTGATAAGTGCTCTCTGACAGATATTTGTGCGCAGAATGACAGTGTTACAAGCGGAGTTGTATACTGGCATATTTGTTCCATGTACATTCATTCAATTCAACTCAACACAGTCAATTCATCAGATTGTAAAGGGGATAACTACAGTGTACAATTAATTCTAATTATGTTCATATACAATCATGAGACTTTTTTTGAGTTAATTGTTCTCACTTGTGTTTCCAACGTCTTCCCGATTGTCAATTCTTTTCACAGCCATATATTTCTCTATAGTCTATGCATAACTTTTCCAGTGTGTATAATGCTGACTTTTCATTGGTGGATCCAATGAGAATGACAACCTCACTCAAATCTTCAGTTGTGTCATGGGAATGTTATGTCTGAACAGGTAGATGAGAAATATTTAATCTTAGGCCGGCACCTCCAACAATGCAATGGAGTATCAATCTAGATTGTGAGCTGAAAGTCTGTAAGTCAAGCTTGAACCCACAATCTTTTGACCTGGAGATGAGAGTGCTACCACCTGAGTTAAGCTAACGCTCGTGAAAGAATCATAGAATTGTACAGCACAAAAAGAGGCCATTCGGCCCATCGAGTCTGTGCCAGCTTTTTGAAAAGAGCAATCTAATGTCAATCCCACTCCCCAGGCCTTTCCCCATAACCCTGCAAACCCATCCTCCTGAAATACCCATCCACCGCGTTTTTAAAAGTTGTTATCGAATTGGCCTCGACCACCCTTTCAGGTAATGTGTTCCAGATTTGAACAACTCACTGCATGAAAAAATTTCTTCTCACCTCCCCTCTGCTTCTTTTAGAAACTATTTTAAATCTGTGACCTCGAGTCACCATTGGAAACAATTTTTCCCTTTCTAACCTATCAAATCCCCTCATGATTTTGAAAACCTCTATTAGGTCTCCTCGTAACCTTCTCTGCTCCAATGAGAATAATCCTAACCTCACTAGCCTTTCTTCATAATCATGTTCCATCATTCCTGGTACCATCCTTGTAAATCTCCTCTGAACCATTTCCATTGCCTCCACATCCTTCCTATAATGTGGTGTCCAGAACTGGGCGCAGTATTCTAACTGAGGCCTAACCAATGTTTTATATAGGTTAATCATAACCTCCTGACTCTTGTACTCTAAGCCCCTACTTATAAAGCCTAGTATCCCATATGCCCCTTTTACAGCTTTATCTACCTGTCCTGCCACCTTCAAGGATTCATTTACCTGAACCCCCAGGTCTCTCTGTTCTTTCACCCTCCTTAAGATTGTATTACCAGCCTATATTGCCTCCCCTCGTTTTTTCTTCCAAAATGCATTACCTTGCATTTCTCCACATTGAAATTCATCTGCCATGTATCTGCCCATTTTACCATTCTGTCTATGTCTTCCTGCAGTTGGTGACTATCCTTCTCACTGTTTACCCCCCTACCTAACTTTGTGTCATCTGCAAACTTGGAAATGGTACTTGCTATACTTGCTAAGTCCAGATCATTTATATATGTTAAGAAGAGCAGTGGTTCTAATACCGATCCCTGGGGAACGCCACTGTACACTTCCCTCCAGTCAGAAAATCAGCCGTTCACCGCAACTCTCTGCCTTATATCTCCCAGCCAGTTCTGGATCCATGCTGCCACTCTCCCTTTTATACCATGGGCTTAAGTTTCACTTAAATAATGAAGCAAAGCAATACACAACAGCAAATCCTCTAATTTTAGAGAGGCAGAAAACATATCAGTTTTTAGTTACGACATGCAAAAGGACACCTCCCACCACATTGCTGAGAGGTAGCTGTAGTTTAGCCATTCATCCTTTATCTCTATTGGAGTATACACAGTGCCAGCTTACAGCAGTAGGGATTGCAAAATATAATTTGAAAAAGGATACAGAGAAAAAAAAAGACAAAAATGGACAAGGTAATTAGAACAATGAAAGCAGAAAAGAGACAAAGAAAGAAAAGAAAGGGAAAAATAATAATAATAATTTTTTTTCAAGGATTATTATCCCCGAAAAAGTGATCCACTAACAATTGGGTTCCTACTTACTGCTCGGTAAACAGTTGTGTGGAGTAAGGAAACTTGCCCAACATTTCCCCCTGTTAGGAATCAAACCCAGGTTTCTTGCTTGCGAGGTGAGTGCACTAACCATTGAACTATAGGACTCCACCTGTAGTAAAAGGACAAGAAATACGAAAAACAAGAACAAGATAATAATAAAAAACTACAATTTTAATAATTGGTTTTGAATAGAATAACACAAATGTATCAAACTTTAGCACCATGAATATTACAATAGGATTACAATATTACACTCATTATTATTATTATTATTGTCATTATTGTCATTATTGTCATTATTGTCATTATTGTCATTATTATGATTATTATGATTATTATTATTACAATCATTCAGGTGTATAGCTATTTTAGGTATAATGTTATTTATCATTAAAATGCAATACTCTAATATTATTTTTATGATTTTTTCATCTATAACAGGTGGATTCCTTTAAAGTTACAATTAACAGATTTGACATAATGCTGCACGACACACAACATGAGCTGAAGGAAACTATAAAAGCACTCACCAAGGGCGAACATGAGACCAATCGAATTGGTGAAACACTGCAAAAGCTGCAGAATGAAATCCTGAGAGACCTCTCTGATGGTATTCAAGATGTGAAGGATGCAAGAGAAAGGGATTTTATATCCCTTGAGAAAACTGTAGAGGAACGATTGATTGAATTAACTAAATCGATCCATGATAATATTGCTGTTTTCACAGAGGTACAGGGCAAATGTCAAAATGATATTGATGAAATTAAGTCAAAGATTACTTCACTAAAAACAACTGTTGAGATAAAGGGACAAGAAATCACTTCTTTAACTCAGAAATATGCCGACTTGAAAAATACCCTGTATTCACAGCAGATTACACATGGAATCCTGCAGCAATCAGTCTCTGAAATTCAGGTGTCTGTTGCAGCTGCATCTGAAGAGATTCAAGACCGTACAAAGGATTTACAGAAAATTAAGAATAGCATAAATGAGCAAGAACAAATAATGCTTTCAAAAAATAATGATATCTCAGTAAATCTAGAAAAGAACAGTGAAAGTTTTGAAGCTAAGTTAACCGTTATAGAAGAAAACATTATGGCTTTGAATACAGCTGCAACACATTTATCTGAAAAAATTGAATACATTGATGCAAGTTCAGTGGAACGTACTATGAGAAGTGTAGCTGAAACTCAGGTATCACTCACAGGGGATATTAAAGTGCTAAAGGCAAATCTAAATGATTTGCAAAGTTTGATGACTGATAAAAGCCTCAATGATTTGCAGCGTGAAATGCAAGCTCTAGAAAAGCATCACACTCAACAGATAAAGGAAATACAATCTGAGAATGAAGAAAAGTTCAAGCAGTTGGAAGCAAACATCAGTAAAGTTGAAACAAAAAATGAGAATCTTGCAGCTGTTTTGCAGTCAGTGGAAGAAATTATACAGACTGAAGTTGAAGGGAAATTTTCATTAATGGAAACATCCATGGATAAATTAAATTCTTCAATCAGTGAAGCAAAGGTTGATCTACAAATGTTAAGGACAGCTGTTGATAATCTACTTTCATACTCACCAAAGATTGAGACTAGTGAGAATGAGCTAGCTTCATTAAAGATATCAATGAATGAGCTGATATTGAATGTTAATAAACTGTCAGATTCTATAGATAGCATAAAGTAAGGCATTAACTTCTCTATAACCAGTTGAAGTTTCAATAGTTTTTATGTAGTTTAGCTCAGAGAAAATACAAAATAAAGAGGTTGTATTGTGAGGATTTTTTTAATGAGACATAAACATGTTAAAAAAATAAAGATTTTACATGTTATTTGTTCAGTACACAATACTTTTAGTTAATGCTTAAAACTGACTCAACTGATCATTTGCATTTTAATAGTGTATAATTATTTCTGAGCATCCAGAGCAAACTGTCCTTCTCATTTTTCACTGCCTTGCATTGAAGTTAAAAAAAAGCATTGTAAAAGTGAACAGTCAGTGATTAGATTACTCATCCTTATCATGAGCAATAAATGTTTTCAATTGATAAATAAAGTTATTACATATAAAAGTACACAAATCAATTATTGACAAGTACTGCAAGCACTTCAATTTTCCTCACCATTAACTTTCAAATTGTTCCCATTCACATGGTGGCAAGACAAAGATCATCATTGGAAAATATAATAGCTCCAACTGCATGAATCCATGAACTCTATTAGGCATGAGTTAACTCATCAGGGTTTTGCATTACCTCCCCACTCCCATCGGGTCGGTGTCATGCTCCGCCATTATCAAGGCCTATGGGACACTATTAAGAGCCCATTGTAAGCCCCATCTATTTTTGGATGAATTGGAGCACTAAGAATTTGTCTGTTTATAGTTGGTGTCTCACTCCTTTTATGAATATCGTGATTATGTTGGTTATGAACCAATTCAATTTCAATAATCCCAATTAATTTTGGACATCGGAAATGCTAAAATCTGGAGAGAAACTGCAAGAAGTTTAACGATCTTAGGTTACTTGCATACCAAATATTGTAGCTGGCAGGTTAACAAGTAAAATGAGTGCTGGTTCTACCCAAACCATAAGTTTTTTACAGGCTTTTGAGAAGTCCAAGGCTCACCAACTTCTTCAAAAGAGGAGAATTTGGTAAGTATGGAAGCTATTGCAGTTCTGAGAAAGAACTAGAATTTTAGAGGCGCTCTCCTTTGGAAGGAGATGTCAAACTGAGGTACCCTATGTCTGTTCAGGTGAAAGATTCCATGATGTTTTTTGAAACGTGAAGTTTCTTCTGGTGCTCTAGTCAACAATTCCTCAGCTAAAATGAATCATTCACTTCATGGCTGATTTGTCACTACATTTTACAATAAATCCTGTAAATAACAACAAAATTACATTTGTATAGCGCCTTTCACATCAGGAGGACTGGTGCTGGGCAGTTAGGGATCTGCACCCGAGCTAGTGGTTGGGATCAGGTGGTGTGGAGGGTGGGGAGGGTAGGGGTGGGAGGGTGCCCGAAGGCACAGGGCTTGAGATGGGTCTTGAAGGAGGCAAGGAAGGGAGAGAGGCAGAGCGACTGTGGAATGGAGTTCCAGAGGGTGGGGGCAGAGAGGCTTAAGGACTGCCCGCCAATGGTGGGGCAGGCAAGGCTGGGGATGTGAAGCAGGCGAGAGACTGCTGAGTGGAGGGAGTGGACAGGTTGGTTTGGGGTTAGGAGGTCACAGAGGTAAGGAGTAGCAAGGCCATGGAGGGCTTTGAAGGTGGGGAACAGTATCTTGAATTGTATCTTCTAAGTGATGAGTCAGTGGAGCCGGGCAAGGATGGGGGTGATAAGGCCGCTGAGCCTGGTGCAGGAGAGGTGGCAGACAGAGACAAGAAGGCAGAGAGAGCCCTGATTGCAGATGGACAGAATGTCATTAATGACTTTCACCACGACTGTTTCCGTGCTTAGGGTTGCATGGAAACCTAATTTGAGCGGTTTTATAGAGGAAAGAGCGAAGCTGAGACTCGATGACTCTTTCCAGGGCCTTCGATAGGAAAGGGAGGTTGGAGATGGGGCAATAACTGGAGAGTACCAATGGGTGCAGGGAAGGTTCTTTGAGGATGGGATTGATGACTGCTGTTTTTAGAGGGGTGGGAACAGTGCCTGTGGATAAGGAGAGATGGATGATGTTGGTTAAAAGGGGCAAGGAGTTGGAGCTGGGAATTAAGGAGAGGGGTGGGGATGGAGTCAAGGGTACAGGTGGTGGGAGATGATGGAGGTGAGGTAGAGGTCTCCCCCACCCAAATCTCGTCCCTCAATCTCGCCCCCTTTCTCCCCCCTCAATTAATCCCCCTTCCCGCCACTCCATCATCCCGTTTTCTCACCACTCAATCTCCCCACTCTCCCCTTCTCTCTCCCTACTCAATCTCCCATTCTCCCTCCTCAATCTCCCCAGTCTTCCCCCCACAATCTCTCCCCATCAATCTAACCCACAACCTCCCCCACTCAATCTCTCCATTCTCCACCCCTCAATCTCCCCCATCACACCTTCAATCTCCCCCATCCCCTCTCCCACACTCAATCTCCCCCCTCACCCCCTCACCCACCACTCAATCTCCCTCCTCTCCTCCCTCAATCTCCCCACCTCAAACTCCCACTCAATCTCCTCCCACCAATCTCTCCCCTCAATCTACCCCCTCTCTCTCCCCCCTCCCTCTCCCTTCCTCTTCCCTTTCCCTCTTTCCACCCTCTCCCCACTCTCTCCTTCCTCTTTCCCCCAACCAAATCTTCCCCCTCAATCTTCCACCTGAATCTCAATCCCTTTCTCCTCCCCAGTTTCCCCCTGTATCCCAACCCTCAATCTCCCCCCTCAATCTGACCCCCTCTCCCCACCCTGATCTCCCACCCACTCTCATCTCCCTCAATCTTCCTTTCTCCCCACCCTGATCTCCCCCCACTCTCTCATCCCCCTCAATCTCCACTCTTGCCACTCTCTCATCCCCCTCAATCTCCTCCTCTCCCCGCGCTCTCATCCCCCTCAATCTCCCACTGTCCCCCCTCAATCTGTCCCTGTCCCCCCCCCGCCTCAACCTCCGCCTATCCTGCCCTCAATCTCCACCCTCTCTCACCACCGCCAATCTCACCCTCAATCTCCCCGCTCACGCCCCTCAAACTCCCCCCTCTCCCACTTCAATCTCCCCTGCTCACCCCCTCAAACTCAGCCCTCACTCACCTTAATCTCTCCCCCTCAATCTCCCCCTTCGATCCCATCTCAATCTATCCCCTCAATCCCACCCCTTCAATTTCCCATCCCAATCTCTCTCCTCAATCTCCCCTCTCTCTCTCCCCTCTATCCCCGCCCCCCTGCCCTCTCTCCTCCTCTCAACCACCCAAATCTCCCTTCTTAATCTCGCCCGCCCCCCATCCTCCTCAATTACCCTCACTCTCCCCTCCCTCTCCCCGCCACTCCATCTCCCCCCTCTCTCCCCACTCAATTTCCCCACTCTCCACCCTCAATCTCTGCCCCTCCCCCTCCTCAATCTCCCTCCTCCCCCCGTCTCCCACGCCTCAATCTCCCCCCTCTCCCACTCCTCAAACTCCCCCTTTGTCCCACTTCAATCTCCCCCCTCTCCCCCCACTCAATCTCCCCCCTCAATCTCCTCCCGACTCAAACATCCTGCTCAGTCTTCCCTCTCCCCCCACCCTCAATCTCCCTCCTCTCCCCCCTACAATCTCCCTCCTCTCCCCCCCTCAATTCCCCCCACCCGCTCTTCCCCCTCAATCTCCCCCCTCAACCTCCGCCTATCTCTGTTTCTCTTCTCTTCTCCCTCGCATTCGCTCCCTTCCCCTAATACTCTCTCTATCTCTCCCCCTTTCCCACTCGCTCTCAATCTCTCTGCTCTCTCCCTCTCTCACTATCTCTCTCCCCCCCCCACTCTTTCCCTCCTTTTTCTCTCCCCTCACACTCTCCCCCTACTCGCTCACCCCTAGTGTCTTCTGCCTACTCTCTCCCTCTCTCTCCACCTTCAATCCCCCCCTCGTTCTCTATTTCTCCCCCTACCCCTTCTCCCTCACATTCACTCCCTACCCGTCATTCTATCTCTATCTGACTCTTTCCCCCTCTCCCATTCTCTCTCAATCTCTCTCACAATCTATCTTTCACTCCCCCCTTTATTTACCCTTTTTCTCTCCCCCACCCCCACTCTTTCCCTCTCTCACCCCCACTCTTTCCCCCTTTTTCTCTCACCCTCTCTCCTCCCACACTCTTCCACCTACTCTCTCCCCCTCTCTCTCCCTCGATCTCCCCCTCTCTATGTTTCTCTCCCCCTTCTCCATCACATTCACTCCTTTCCCCCTCACTCCCTCTCTCCCCCCTTTCCTATTCTCTTTCTCAATCTCTCTCACACTCTCCCCCTCTCTCAATCGTTTTCTGCTCTCTCCCTCTCTCACTCTCCTTTTCGTATCTGTCTCTTACACACATACTCTCTGCTGTATTCCCCCTTTCTCTCTCTCCCTTCTTTCTCCCCCACCGCACTTTCTCCCCCTTTCTTACCTCTGTCTCAAACACATACTCTCTCCCCCTCTCTCTCTCCCCCCTCAATCTCCCCCTATCTCTGTTTCTCTCCCCTTCTCCCTCACATTTTCTCCCTTCCCAATACCTCTCTCACTCTCTCTCAATCTTGCTGAAGATCCTGTTGAAACTCTGGTTCACGCCTTTATCACCTCAAGGCTGGACTATGGGAACTCTCTCCTCGCCGGCCTTCCCGCCACCTCCCTCCACAAGCTGCAGGTCATTCAGAACTCTGCAGCTCGTGTACTGTCCCGCACCAGGCTTCGCAACCACATCACTCCCACCCTCGCTCGCCTCCACTGGCTCCCCATCCCCCAGAGGATCGAATTCAAGATACTCACCCTCACCTACAAGGCCATTCACGACCTTGCTCCCTCCTACCTCTCTGACCTACTATCCCCCTACCTACCTGCCCTTACCTCCGTTCCTCTGGCTCCGGTCTGCTCCACATCCCCCGCCCCAACCGCCCTACCATCGGCAGCCGGGCTTTCAGCCTCACAGCCCCGAGGCTCTGGAACTCCATCCCCCAGTGCCTTCGCCGCCTCCTCTCTTTCCTCCTTCAAGGCCGGTCTCAAGACCTTTCTCATTGACAGTGCCTTTAGCTCCCCTCTCGACACTCTACCCCCTCCTCGCTCGCTCCCTTCCCTCCCCTCACCCTGACCATTTTCCCCCTCCTCGCTCCCTCCCTTCCCTCCCCTCACCTTGACCATTTTCCCCCCCAAGGCTCGGGTCCTGACCCAACTGTCCAGCGCCTTGGGACGTCCTCCCAACATGAAAGGCGCTCTATAAACGGAATCTTGTTGTTGTTGTTGTTGCTGCTCTCTCCCTCCCTCACAATCTCTCTCACTCTCCCTTTCTTTACCTCTCACAGTGTCTCTCTCACACCCCCTTTCTTACCTCTCTCACACACATACTCTCTCACCTCTCTTCCCTCTCTCTCTCCCCCTTTCTCTTCTGCCCCTCTCTTCCACCTACTCTTTCCCCTTCTCTCCCCCCTCAATCTCAACCCCCTCTATCTGTTTCTCTTCCCCATCTCCCTCAAATTCACTCCTTGCCCCCCATACTCTCTCATACTTTCCACCTCCCCACTCTCTCAATCACTCTCAAAATCTCTCTCCTACTCCTCCTTTCTTTACCTCTCTCTCACAGTCCCTCTCTCTCAGTCTCTCTCACTCCCTCCCCATTTCTTACCTCTCTCACACACATATTCTCTCGCCTCTCTCTCCCCCACTCCCCCTCTCTCCTTTCCTCTCCCCCCACTCTTTCCCACTTTTTTTCTCCCCCCTCCCACTCTCTTCCACCTACTCTCTCGCTGTTTCTCTTCCCCTTCTCACTCACATTCACTGGCTTCCCCCTCTCACATTCTCCCCCACCCCCCCACACTCTCCCATTCTCTCTCAATCTCTCTCTGCTCACCCTCTCTCAATCACTCTCTCAGTCTCTCTCTCATTCCCCATTTCTTAACTCTCTCTCGCACACATACTCTTCCTCCTTTCACACCCCTCCACACCTCTTTTCTCTCTCCCTCTTTCTCTCCCCATCTCCCCCCCTCTATCTTCCCCCTCTTTGCCCCTCTCTCTTGCCCCTTCTCTCTCCCCCCACTCCCACCTCTCTCTCCCCACCTCTTCCCCCCCCCCCTCTCTTCTCCCTCCTCTCTCTATCCCCCCTCCTCTCTTTGCCCCCATCTGCCCCCCCCCTTCCCCCTCTCTCCCAATCAGTGAGTAGCAATCACTATCTGCACCAACAGGAACCTGCATGGTTACTAAGGACACTCAACAATAACAACAACTTGCATTCATATTGCACCCTCCATGCCGGGTAGCATGTCAGAGTGCTTAACAATGGCGGAGCCCAAGCCCGAGCCAGGGGGAGGGGAGGGGGAAGGTGACCGTAGGCACAGTCGAAGAGGAAGGTCTTCAGGCGTGTCCTGAAGATGGCGAATGTGTTGAGCAAGAGAGTTCCAAAGTTTTGAGGTGTAGTGGCTGAAGGCTCAGCCGCCGATGGTGAAGGATTTGGGGGACACGGAGGAGGCCAGACCCAGTACAGTGGAGGCAGTGGGTACTGCTGTGGGAAGAGAGGAGATTAGAGAGATAGGGGGTTGCCAAGGAATGGAGGAATTTAAACACTTGAGTGAGGAGCTTGAAGTCAGTCTGCTCTATGACAGGGAGCCAGTGGAGGAAGATTGAGGGGGTGGGGGGTGGAGGGGGGGGTGAGTAGGGGAGATTGAGGGGGGAGAGGGGGCAAGAGTTTGAGGGGGGGCGAAGAGGGGGGAAAGCAGTTATGGTCAGGGACAGGAAGGGGGGGGAGGAAGGATAATTGGGGTTTGAACCTGATGCCTAAGTTGCGCACGGGTTCGTAGAGTTTTAAGGACAGGTCGGGTAGGTTGAGGAGATCAGAACTGTCAGATAGAAGACGTTGACAGGAGTCAAAGCATATAGCTTCTGACTTGTTGACATTTAACTGCAGGAAATTTGTTCTCAGACAAGCTAACAGAACATCAGGGGCCTGGGGGTTGCAGCTGGAGATGGAAAAGTAGAGTTGAGTGTCATCCGCATACATTTGGAAATTAACCGGATGACATCACCGAGAGGGAGCATATAGATGAGGAAGAGAAGGGGGCCAAGGATGAATCCTTGGGGTACCCTGTGGGTCATCGGGTGGAAACACGAAGAAAAGCCATTTGCAGAAATGTAGTGCTGGCGGTTTTGTAAGTTAGGACTTGAAACAAGCGAGTGCAGTCCCACTGAGGTGGATGACGGGAGGACAGGTGGCGGAGGAGGATGGCGTGATTGACTGTGTCGAACGCGGCGGAGAGGTCCAGGAGGATGAAGAGGCAGAAGGAGTTCTGGTCACAGAGAGGATAGCGTTTGTGACTTTCACAAGTGCTGTCTCTGTACTGGGTAGAAACCGGACTGAAGGGGTTCAAGTAGGGTGTGGAGGGAGAGGTGTGCATGAAGTTGGTTGGCAACAAGCGTGATCTTTGGCCAGGAAGGGCAGGTTTGAGATAGAGCAGTAGTGGTCGAGGTTGGAGGGATCAAGAGTAATTTTTTTTAAGGAAGGAGTTGATGACCGAGGTTTTGAGGGGGAGTGGGACTGATCCTGAGGAGAGAGACTGATTAATAGTGTCTGCCAGTGGGCAGACGAGGGTGAGTTGGGTGATCAGCAGTTGGGTGGGGAGGGAGTGGAGCCAGCAGGTGGTGGGTTTCATTGTAGTGATGGTGGATAAGAGGGAGAGATGGAGGCAAATGAATGTAGGATGGGGGCATGCAATGCAATCTTTAACTGCAGCAGTTGAACTAAGTTGCTAAGGATGCAGTTGGTAAGAGACTCGCTTGCCTTCCTGACAGACTGCAGCAACGGCCATTATTATTTCTATTCTGCACGCTACGTCCTCCCAACCGCCAGCTCCTGCCACTGCCGGGTGGACGTTCACCAGAGAGGGAGGAAGCGGAAGTTGGAATGGTGGAAATAGTCGTGGGTCAGATAAAATCCCCCACCTGTTGGACCACCTATTGGATGCTGCCTGTTGGACGACAGATCATTTGGAATCACAGTGAAATTCAATATACGTTTCTAAAAACAGCAATTTCTTAATTTAATGTATATAATTCCCAATATGATATATATTTAAATGTATATTTTGGAGAAGTGATTGGTAAGTATTTTATGACATTCCTGGCTCAATTAGTAGCACACTTGCTGCTAAGTGAGGAGGATGTGCTTTCAAATCCTATTTTGGGACTTTTAGACTCAGTCTCCAGGCTGACACTCCAGTTCAGTGTTGGGGGAGCACTGCATTCCTGGAGGTGTCGGATGAGATGTTAAACCAAGATCCTGTCTGCCTGCTTAGGTTGGCATTAAATATTCCATGGTTTAGGATGGCATTAAATATCCTATTCAATAAGAAAAGGGAGTTTCAGCAAAATTTTCCCAGAAAACAATGGTCACTCACGTGATAACTTTTTGTGGTGCTTTACTGTGTGCAAATTGATTGCCATACTCGCCAGATACACAGTCACTACACTTTGTGAAGTCTTTTGAAACATTCTGATAGATGTTATATCAATTACAAGGATTATTATTTACCTTTGAACTTTGGGAACTACCAGGCAATGTTTTGTAATAGTATGTTTTCAGTTCTAATACAACACGTTGCTTTTAAAAATACTTCTACCCATAAATGGTACAATTTTTTAAAACTTGTAGTCATTGTGAGCCACTGATAATGTAGTGCAAAGGAGATACTGAAGTTATGGCAATGCAAAATTAAATAAAAAGCTGTGTAAAACATTTTATTTTTAAAAAAAAGAAATTATGAAAAACATTCGCATGATGAATTTCATCCCTTATTGTATGAAACATATTTGACTTCATAGGGTGCAGGGTGTTTTAAGAGCATTTTTTTTTTAAAAACTACATATCAATTACTAAAGCAATACTTCTCAACTCATTTGGAAAGTGATCTAAATGACATTTTGTAACATGTTGTTCATTGCAGGGCCATTTAGGTTCAAACTTATAGTGGCAAAACAAGTGACCAAATCTCAATTGAATGCTCAAAAGAGTTTTTTTTTTAAAACCTATTACCCTAGTGTAAGATGCACAATTATCAACCCATTTCAGTGACCTGATCAAGCTGGTCTTTCAAATCCTTTACATCATTTGGAATCACAGTGCAATTCGATATTTGTTTATTCAACACAGCAATTTCCTCATTTTTCTTTAATAAGGCAGAAGAAAGCTGACCAATTCTCCCAATTAGATCATTCACATGTGACTCAAGAACAGACAAATCCTTTTTGAGATGGAAAACCTTTGGTTTAAGGTCATTGGCGAATGTAACTGTCTTAATCAGTTTTGCTCTACTATTTTCCAGACTAACAAATCTATCTGAAAATGTGTCATCTTTAGCCTTCAATTCATCCATTTTTTTCTGTACAAACTTAATTTCCTCTGTATTTTTGGAGAGTGCTTTCTTAATTTGTGTGATCTGCTCTACACTTTTTATTACTAAGTCCCCTATCTTAAGGATGAACATTTTCTCCACTTCAGTTGCTTTGTTTTCCAGGTCAAGCAGAGATTCTTTCAATGAAACAACATCTGAATCTAAACCTGACGTGCGTCTCATGTCAGTTCTGATGCCAGAAATTTTGGTGGTGACATCATTTGATATGTAAGCTGTGCTATTTCCTATCTTTTCAATGGCTTCAGTTAGTAAAACTATTTTTTCATACATCTCATTTCTTTTCTCTGTGATGCTGAATGACCATGACTTCATTTCATTGACATCGATTTGCAGGTCTTCTATTTGTGCCATCAGTGATTGGCCTTTAAATTTGTCCAGATTTTCTTGTGATTTTTCACACTGCGCAGATAGAGAGGAAAAAACAATTTAATGTTGACAGGTGCAATATAAAATAGGTTGCTGCAAGTTCAAAAAGTTTATCAACAACCTTCATAAATATGTATCTGTGCTCTTCATACAGTATTGAAATTATTCATACAACAAATTGAACATTCCAAAACAAAAGATATTTTACTCTACTGCTGTTTTTTCTCACTTTTACTTACAGAGTATGTCATTTTGAAGTGATGTGAAACAAGTTATCTCACAGTAACGTGGTGATTGTTCTATTACAGATGCATAACGTTTAATAAATACCAGTTCAAATAAATTTTCTTATATAAAAAAATAGTGGAGACCAATTTATCAGCTTTTCACAAAATTCTAAACAATCAAGCCACTTCATATTCATGTCTACTATTTTATGTCACAATAGTCTATGTCACAATTTCATTTCAACAAAGAAATTTGTCACCAAACAACAATAACAACAATTTACATTTGTGTAGCACCTTTCACATCGGGCGGATGTCCCAAAGCTTTGGACAGTCAGGGAGTTGGACCCGAGAAGGGGTTTAGAGGTTGGATACTGTTGGATGCAGGTGTATACTGGGCTGTATCTCACCTTTTAAGAATGATCTTTCTCTCATTTATTAATATTTTTGACTACTGTACCAAGAATGAGTTGTTTCATTGGGACAGTTAAATTATTGGTAAAACAGCTAAACTTTTGGCAACCTAATGCAACTTTTTGCATTAAAAATACATAACTGTCAACGTTAATCATGAAATTTGAAATCAGCAAGAGAAATGTTAAATATATATTATGTTAAATATACAAAGTATGTATTTATTTTTGCAGAAAACCACATCAATATAAGGTAATTCAATATAAATAGTTATCCCTTCTAATCAGTTACACCTCACAGGGTTGAGTTAAGCTGTACTTTGTGCTTACCTGAGGTGGAGGACCTTTAATGCGATATTTTAGCAGATAACTACACATAGTCAATGGCATGGATTACTTGCAGAACTTTTTTAAAAATGTGTTTATTTTCAAAAATGAAACTTTTAGCAATGTCAATTTAGGTTCAAGAAGAAAACAGACTCTTGATGTTTACATAAACTTGCACTTTCAATACTGAGTTTAAAAGAGCAGAAAATTTACTGGCTAAAACACTAATTAATATAACTATTAACTTGGATAAATCTAAATAAATCTGCTCTTTTGTATTATATCAAAGCCGTTTTGCCAAAGCAATCTAAATCACAATCAGACTGGTTTTATTACTGCTGACACAATTGACTCAATATGTTTACTCGAGTGTGATACAGCAGATTACGAAGATTACTGAAAAGAACTTGCATTTCATTTTATATAACATTGTAACATTGTTCAATGCCCACCAGTAATATTGTCTTTGTCACAAGTGGACAACAATGTCAGTGACATCCTATGCATAATTCTTGAAGCTTGTCTACAAGTATCAAATTGTTGTCTTGAAAAAAAATGAAGTTATATTTTTGCAGTGGAATTGTATTGCAGTGGAAGTGCAGAGCAAACTGCTATAAAATGGATGTTCTATAATGATCTGCGAAAATCAAATGACTTATTTGATTAGAAGAGCATGTGTGGCTGGCTGGCTGGTTATTCTACCACAGTGAGAAGATTCAGTGTGATTGATGGGTACATTAGTAAGAGGATTAATTACTGAATCTGTGAATTGCACAATTAGGTGATTTAGCTTTTCAGCAACTGGTAGCTTTTTTGGATCAGGTTTGACCAGTCATTCGATTTTTGCAGATCATTATAGAACATCCATTTTATAGCAGTTTGCTCTACACTTCCACTGCAATACAATTCCACTGCATTTTTTTTCAAGACAACAATCTGATACTTGTAGATGTTAAAAAATATAAATGCATAATGTGATAATACAGAATTATGATAGATAGTTGTGTAATGTTTTGGTTGTGTCTGCTATCCTCGTGGCATCTGATATTGGGAAAAGTGGACATGTGATGCGTTAATATGTATATCACGGATAAATTAATATGTAAATACGATGATTCAAACATGGTTGAAGATGATAGGCCCACGGGCAACCGAAATGTAAATGAGAGGAATGGATGAGGGACAAGACGGTTGGTCGACAAACTGCTGAGTAAGGCCAGGTGTGGTCAAAATGTTTGGATATGTAAATGGAGATAGTAATGGTTGGAAAGAGATTGGCCGATGAATGCAATTGGGTAAACTAATGATGGATTAAAGTGTACTTGGGTGTGGACGCATGCACAAGTTATGAAAGAAATAAGGAAGTGAGTTGGGTGATTGACTATAATAAGCAGAAAAGGAGAAGTAAGCAACAGTCCAGGACGGCATAGAAGGGGGTATAGGAGACTTGGTGAAAGACTAAAAGCATGAACAACAGACACTCGATGGAAGATTGAAAGCCTGAATAACTGAAGAGCATAATGAAGTACCCTGTCCTGGACTCGCGGTGACATTGTCTAGTGGCACTGACTGTCCTCTGCTAAAATAAGCGCGCATCAATTGTCTTATTGTTGAATAAACTTGGTTCAACAGATTTTACCTAGAAGGAATGCTGAGTGACTTTTTTGACATCTAACATAGACAAGCTTCAAGAATGATGCAAATATTCCACAAATATGGTAAAAACAATTTACATGTGAAATATGGAAAGACATGATGTTATTTACCATATATGTTACACAAGCTAAATAACTGAGGACGGTTCAGGAGGGAGTTATACATAGGTCCATGAAAAAAATATTTAGAATAGCCCACGACATTTTATGACATGTTAAATTCAATGAATATTTTCTGATACAAGACAATTTGTTGAAGCTGCCCTATGACATAATGGTCATTGTAATGCTGCTCTTGTGGAACTACAAATTATTTTCGCTGGTAGTTCAACACAAGCTTACTATAAATGTGTGACATGAATCTGACAGATGAGAGTAACACTTGTCCATGCATTTTATAATAATAATCCTTGCATTTAATTAAAATTGGGTTTCCCCCTGAATAAATATATCCAACAACTGTCTGGCATGCTTCTTAATGTGGGTGCCCAGAATTGAACGCAGTACTCTAGCTGAGGCATAACCAGTGTTTTATAAAGGTTCATCATAACTTCCTGACTTTTGTACTCTATGCCCCTATTTATAAAGCCTAGTATTCAATATTTAACTATTACATTTCTTTTAAAAAAAGGTCTGTCCCATCAATACCATCGCTTCAATTACCAATGTCTCCAGTTTCTTTTCAATTGTTTGAAACTTCACTTTGAGTCACAGGCCTACAATAAGCTGGAGCGAGCTTGTGCAGACAAAGTAGGTACAAATGGAGAGTCACTGTCACGGGTAGTGTGACCATGACTCTCCATTTACCTGAGAATGCAGTGCAACTAAAGCATGATTGTTCAGGATTGTTCCTTAGTTCTGTCTTTTCACATTTCACCATCTTCAGTTCATGTCTCTACTTTTAATTTGCATCATCAGACTCTGATGCTTCCAATTGTGTTTTTATTTCTTGTATGTTATTTATCACTTTTAGCATACTGTCCTCCAAATTGAACATCAGAAATGTCAGGTCCTCTATTTTCTTCTCAGTGCTCAGAAACTCACTGGACACTTTCAGAATAGAGTGAATACCATTATCGATTATGGGAAGCTGTTCTTGGCATTCTTTAAGCTTAGTGTCGTACTCAGTCAATTTTTCCATTAATACAGTGTCTTTGGCAATCAAATCGTTTTGGTGATCCTCCAGATTCAGGATGGTTCTTGCATTCAATTCCAGTTGCTTCTCAAGCCTTTTCAAATCCGCCTTTTCTTGTTGTTGTATTGCTCTTGTATTTTGCTTAGTACTAAGTTTTAAATCTTCCAGCTTTTTCGTGAGATCTTTCACACCTTCTTCCACTGCATTAATTTCTGAGGAAATCTTGCTGTGCATATTCTTGGATTCCGACTTCAGGTTTGCAATCTCACTGTTTATTTTGTCTAAGCTTTCTTTCCAGGTGTCTGAGATAGTTTGGAAGTTCTTATTTACATGCTGCATCTTTTTCGCTATTGCGTGCTCTTTAGTCTGTACACTGTTCATACTGCTACGCAGCTCTGACATCTCCTGCTCAAAAAGGTTCATGAGTGAGCTGAACGGCAATGCTTTCTGCAGGATCTCTGATGATGATTCCAGCTACATCCAGAACACAAAACATGGGCAGGTCTACTTTAATTATCTTCAAACGTCTAACAAAATCATTCTCAAATAACAAATAATCTTTTCTGGGCTTATTGCTTATCTGCTTGTGTGCCTGCCTATTTTTTCACCTTTTGAAAAATAATTAAATGTATTACAATGTTGGAAGGAGGAACTCGGGCTTCATCTTCCCTCCCTAGCCCAGGAACACCAAAGCCAACTGTAGACCATTAATGCTGCCCAAGCTGAAATCAATTAATTCAACACAAACTTCAGACCTTTCTATTGCTTAGTTCAGTTATCATAGAATCATAGAATTATACAGAACAGAAGGGGGCCATTCAGCCCATCATGCCCGTGCCGGCTCTTTGAAAGAGCTGTCCAAATGAATCCCACTCTTCCGTGCTCTCCCCATAACTTTGCAAATTTGTCCCCAAATATCTATCTGCTTCTCTCTTGAAGTTGTTATTGAATCAGCTTCCACCACCCTTTCAGGCAATGCATTCCAGATCCAAACAACTCTCTGTGTGAAAAAAATTCTCCTCACCTCCCCTCTGGTTCTTTAAATCTTTCTGGTTACTGACTCACCTGCCAGTGGAAAGAGTTTCTTCCTGTTCACCCTATCGAATCCCCTCATAATTCTGAACGCCTCTATTAAATCTCCCTTTCACCTCCAAGGAGAATAATCCGAGCTTCTCTAGCCTCTCCTGATAACTGAAGTCCCCCATTCCTGGTGCCATCCTGATAAATCTCTGTTGCACCGTCTCCAAGGGCTTGACATCCTTCCTAAGGTGTGGTGATCAGAACTGAACACAGTACTCTAGCTGAGGCCTAACCAGTGTTTTATAAAGGTTCATCATAACCTCCTTACTCTTGTATTCTATGCACCCATTTAGAAAATCGAGTATCCCGTGTGCTTTTTTAACAGCTTTATCTACCTGTCCTGCCACCTTCAAAACTTTGCTTATATGGTCCCCCAGTTCTCTCTGTTCCTGCATCTCCTTTAAGATTGTGCTTATATTGCCTCTCCTTATTCTTCCTCCCAAAATGTATCACTTTGCATTTCTCTGCATTAAATTTCATCGACGATGTTTCCATGGTTTACTACATTTACTAACTAGGCTATTTTGGCAGATATTTATCTTCTATTATGTAACCTTTCATTATTTTCATGACTATAAAACTGATCTAACTATGCCACTCAGTAAAGCATCAAATAGAGAACTGGTATAGCAGAACAAATTATCTCATGTCCTGGTCTGCCAGTGCACGCCCAGAATAGCTTAAAGACTAGTGTCTGATAAATGGACTATGCTTACTTACTCCAAAATGCAATAAAGTGAATATCATTGAATGAAAGGAATAAAAAGACTCCACAGACAGAATCAAATACCCAAGTGTCCAATGGAAAGAAATTGCATAAGGTTCCCATGTTCTTATACAACACAATACAAAATTACATTTGTATAGCACCTTTCGCATCGGGAGGGTGCTCATACTAAAGGGCTGGTTGGGATGATGGATAGCCTAATAATGTTGAATAATATAAATCATCCAGCAATTATTAGAGATTACCATAAATAAGTTTTAATGTTGATATTCTGTTCTGTGTGTGTGGTATATGGCAGATCATGTGACGTTTCACTTACTGCTCACAAAGTACCAATCTGAGTAATCCACCATTCCTTACTCATTTGTAACTTTGATGCCAGTGCGTAGATGTGTGCCTTATTTGACAGTGTGTGGTTCAATATCCCATTAGCACTCAATCTGAACATACCAATGCTCCAATTAGTTCATCTCTGGCCTACTGAGTTAGCAATAGACTCACTCTTGTACTGTTTTTCCATTCTGACACTCCCATTTTTCCAGTGCTTCTATAGCCACCAGATTCACATATCAGGACTTGTTTTCTGTGTCAGTTTTACAATTTCAAAGTGCTCCCGAATGATTAATTCTGTAGTCATTTGATAAAATGTTCTGATCAACTGTAAAATGTTTCAATGTCTTCTAAATAAGTAACAGAAGACAACATTTGTCCTTTCATTCCTGCAGGAATCTTGCTTAGAAATCTTCCAAATAAGATGGCAACTTTTCCCTTGAACTTCCCCTAAAGTCATCAGGAGAAAGGCACATTCATTACCCCAATTTCCTATTTCTCTGTGCTTTTGAATAGCAAAAATAGGGTCTATAATGAGACAATTAAAAATATATGAAGTGGAATTCCAACTAAGTCTAGATTTATTGTATTAAAGTAACATTTCAGCATGGGGAAATTGGTTCAATGGCTTCAGGAGAGGATCTGTGGGAAGAAATTTATAAAACAGACTTACCTTTTCTGAAATTTTGCTAATTTCCTTTTTGAGGTCTTGGACAGCTAGAGATTTCATGTACAGTAATTGGTACTTTTCTTCCACATCAGCAAACTTGGCCGCCTGCTGAAATATAAGGCTGCAAAAAAAATCATAGGGTTCACAATGTTGGTTCGCAATATGACTTCATACTGTACATCCATTTTTTATTGCAAACATTTTCATTTATGCCTTTCATGTCGGGAGGATGTCTCAAAATAAAGTGGATTGACTGTATAATTTGTGGGCAAAATGCTGCAGCAGTGTCCCACAAAAAGCTGTGGATTGAGTGACAAAAATTATTATTTTATTTTTATTGGAAGGGATTATTAAACCTGGAAAAGCGATCCACCAAATTCCAACTAAAATGTCACCTTTGTTCTTGGACCTCCCCTTGTTCCAAACCTCACGGGATGACTAAAGTAAAACAGAAAAAGGAGACTTATGGTAAACGTCAGGTCCAAAATACAGAAGATAATCAAATAGAATATAGAAAGTATAGAAAGGAAATAAAAGGAGCAAAGAGATTGTATGAGAAAAGATTAGTTGGTAACATAAAAAGGAATCTTTTGTATACAAAAGTCAGGGTGTTACGATGAACCTTTATAATACACTGGCTAGGCCTCAGCTGTGTTATACTCCAACCAGGCTCGATTATGCCAATCCCCTGCTTGTCGACCTTCCCAACTCTTCCTTCCACAAACTGCAGATCATCCAGAACTCTGCAGCTCGTGTCCTCTCGCGCACCAGGCTCCGTAACCCCATCACGTCCATCCTTGCCCGGCTCCATTGGCTCCCCATCCCTCAGAGAATTGAGTTAAAAATTCTCGTCCTCATCTTTAAGGCCCTCCATGGTTTTGCCCTCTCCTACCTCTCTAACCTGATAACCCCTTATAACCGTCCACTCCCTACGCTCAGCAGGTTCCAGCCTGCTCCATGTCCCCCACTCGGCCCGCCCCAACATCAGCAGACGGGCCTTCAGCCTTTCTGCCCCCACCCTCTGGAACTTCATCCCACATTCCCTTTACCTTGCTCCCTCCCTTTCCTCCTTCAAGGAGCGCTTCAAGACCTTCTTCTTCGAGCGTGCCTTTACCCATCCTCGTATGCTCTCTGCCTTCCACCCAGCTTGATCTCACCCCCTACTCAGGTCGTAATCCCTGACTGCTCAGAGCCTTGGAACTTCCTCCAGATGTGAAAGGCGCTTTACAAATGTAATTTTGTGTTGTATTGTGTTTAGTTCTGGGCACCACACTTTAGGAAGGATGTCAAGGCATTGGAGAGGGTGCAAAGAAGATTTACCAGGAATGAGGGACTTCAGTTATCAGGACAGGCTAGAGAAGCTATGATTATTCTCCTAGGAGCAGAGAAGGCTAAGAGGAGACTCAATAGAAGTTTTCAAAATTATGATGGAATTCGATAGGATGAACAAGGAGAAACTATTTCACCTGGTGGGTGGGTCGGTATCCCGAGGACACAGAGGGAGGGAAGAGTTGGGAAGGTCAACAAGCAGAGCATTGTTAAGTTGTTAAAAGAAACAGAGGGGAGGTGAGGAGAAATTTTTGCACACAGTGAATTTAGATCTGGAATGTATTTCCTGAAAGGGTGGTGGAAGCCAATTCGATAACAACTTTTAAGAGAGAAGTAAATAATTATTTTGGGAGGTCAAGTTTGCAGGGCTATGGGGAGAGTGGGGGGGGGGGGGGGGGGGGTGGGGGGGAGGTAGTAGGATTGATTTGGATAGCTCTTTTCAAAGAGCCAGCAAAGACACAATGGGCCGAATGGCCTCCATCGGTGCTGTATAATTCAATGATTCCATGATTCTTTCAAATTAATTCCAATGTGTCACACCTAAGGAACTAACCTACCTTACTTCTATCATTCTGTAAGATCATTCATTATACCCATTATACAGTGACAACATTTTATAGTAAATCCTGTGAAGTACTTTGAGATGTCCTCCAGATCAAATCCCCAAATTATTCAGATTATTGTTGCTCATATAGTGGATAGCTTAACTTCACCCCCACCCCAGGATGAAAGTCACTAGTTGGTTGTTCAACGACAACTTGCATTTATATAGCGCCCTACACAATGGATGCTGTCTCGGAATGCTTAACAGTGGTGGAGCCCAATGTCAAGCAAGGATGAAGGTGACTGTAGGCATGGTTGAAGAGGAAGGTCTTCAAGCGTGTCCTGAAAATTGTGAGAATGGGCAAGGTGAAGGGATTGAGGGAGAGTGTTCGGGGCTTCTGGGCATAGTGGCTGAAAGCATAAAATGCGTGAGAGCATTGCCACCATTTTCATGTCCGCAGCTTGGGCACACGTAGGTTGAGCGATGGTTCCACCAATTGGAGATGCGGAGTTTAAGTAGCAACTGTTTGCCTCTCTGCAGGCCAACCAAGGTGGATTGCAGGCACTGGATGTTCCAGGCACACGTGTTCATAATTCGGACTCCAGGTAACAACTTCCAGCAGTCACCCCAAGACTCCTTCTGCCTTCAGCGTGGTGGGAGGACCTTTACAGAACAGCTTGTGATATGCTAGCCACCTTGATTTTCTTGAGGACCAAGTCCAATGCCGTTTACCAGGCTTACTCAGTACCAGCTGCTTAATCCAGGTCAGCGTGCGAGGGGCTTGGCAAATAGATGTGCCCACTGTGAAGTGATTTCCACTTCCAGGGTGCTTCGCGATAGGTCAGTGTAGGCCGGGTCTGCAGCGGGTTCCTGTGTTTGCCAAAAATTCACCTCACTGCTTGATCCTGGACACTGCAAATGGAGGAAGCCTCTCCGTTGCATCCCCAGTAGCTCAGATCCATAAAGGAGGACTGCTTGTAGGCCTACAAGACCACAAGCTTGACCTGCATTGGGACCTTCCTGTCCTTGAAGAGGGATGAGCATGACTAGAGTGTTCTTCGCCCCTTCTCAGCGCGATCCTTCAGGCTGAAGTTGGTGTCCACCATGACCCCGAGATACCGATAAGAGTCAACAATTGGGACTGATGCCCCTTTTATTTTCCAATCAATTCCCTAGATGTCTTCCCACACCTATTAACATGCACATCAACTAACCAGAATCAGAATATTAGTTTTTTTTTTAAATCATCTTAAAGTTATCATAGAATTTTACAGCATAGGAGGCCACTCGGCCCACCTTTGAAAGTGCTACTAACTAGTCCTACTCCTCCGCTCTCCTTGTCCCCACTCTGGATCTTTCGCCAATTATCTTAATTCTGTATCCTCTGGTTACTGACCCGCCCGCCAGAGGAAACAGTTTCTCTGTATCTACACTATCAAAACCACTCATAATTTTGAACACCTGTATTGAATCTCCCTGCAACCTTCTCTGCTCCAAGGAGAATAATCCCAGCCTATCTAGTCTCTACACATAATTGTAGTAATCAAATTCAATATCCTCATCCTCACCTACAAGGCCATTCATGGCCTTGCTCCCTCCTACCTCTCCGACCTACTATCCCCCTACTTACCTGCGTGTACCCTCCGTTCCTCTGGCTCCGGTCTGCTCCACATCCCCCGCCCCACCCGCCCTACCATCGGTGGTCGGGCCTTCAGCCTCTCAGCCCCTAGGCTCTGGAACTCCATCCCCCAGTGCCTTCGCCGCCTCCTCCCTTTCCTCCTTCAAGGCCGGTCTCAAAACCTTTCTCTTTGACCGAGCCTTCAGCTCCCCTCTCGATTCTCTACCCCCTCCTCGCTCCCTCCCTTCCCTCCCCTCACCCTGACCATCTCCCCCCTGCTCGGGTCCTGACCCAACTGTACAGCGCCTTGGGACGTCCTCCCGACGTGAAAGGCGCTCTATAAATGGAATCTTGTTGTTGTTGTTGTAATCCCTCATCTCTGGTATCATTGTTGCAATCTTCTCTGCACCCTCTCCAAGGCCCTGAATCCTTCCTGAAGTATGGTGCCAAGTATGCCAGCTGAGGTCTAATCAGCGATTTGTTTGCTCTTATACTCTATGTCTCTATTTATAAAGCCAGAGATCTTTCTTAGCTGCTTTGTCAACTTGTCCTGCTACCCTTAAAGATTTATGTATGTGAAACCCTAAGTCTTTCTGTTCCTGCATCCCCTTTAAACTTGTACCATACCATCCCTCCCAAAATGCATCATTTCACACTCCCTTTTTTTCAAAACAATTTTCTGGGCAGTCCCAGTGCGGTGTCTGAGAGTCCCCTTTGCAGTGATTACCAGTCCCAAATTCAGGCAGTGAATCCCACTCCACTTCTGTTAATCCACATCCATCTCATATCTTTGTTCAAATCCACTCGTCGCACTATAAATTTTGCATCGATTTCAGTCGGTGCATTCAGTGGCCCCAAAACCCAGATCTGGGCTCAACTTGTACTCGGGTTGGATAAAAATCTCCCAAATTCTGCAGAAGTCTCGATGTGCAACTCCATTTCAATTATTTTAAACAACTGCCACAGTTTAATTTTTCTGATTTTGAAAATGAGAGACCACATATTTAGTTTTAAAAACAGAAAATCTATACTTTGGCTTTAGCAGTTGGATTTAACAAATCTGTGTTTTATAGCCGAATACATTGAGCGGTACATATCATTTCCAAACTACTTTTACCTAACCCAGAAAAAGATCCGCCATATGAAAGGAATGGGACGAGTATATTTGTTGGTTAACTGTTTACAGTTCCACAGATTATCCACCTTTACTGCATTCATTTCGGCCACGTTGATAACGCCAGTAATAGTGCATCAAATACGAGTCAAATGGACGACTCCAATCTATGTTCTTCCTTACCCTCCAAGTGCCGCGCTGGCGAGCAGCGAGAGTACACACAGCGCTGTCCTCACATCCGCATGCGGCCTCCGCGGGCTGTCCTTCCTGCAGCGCCCGCGCTCGGGCTGCTCAGCCACCGCTGTCACGGGGTGTGCCCGAGCGCCGCCGCTCTGTCCGGGGACCGCAGCGCTTCTCTTCCTTGGTTTAATTTCCGCGGACATGTTATAAGGTGTTTTGTGTTGATCCGCTGAGAGCTCCTAACACCGGGATCCGCTTTCACTACTCCGCTCCAACTTCTCAAAAACCTTCACAAGCTCCAACACCAGCAGCCGCGGGGGGGCCCTCCCCACCACAGTCACCTTCACACACATAATAGTTCCATTATCTGCTTTTGCCTCTCTGATTGCTCTGAAGCCGCAATAATACTTTTCACGTGTTACAATTTGTAAATCATCAAAAGTCTCCGAATAACTGTATGGAGGACTGGAGCCGAGTCACTCCCTGGTCTCTGGTTACAATGGAACACTCCATATTACGCGGTCCAGTGAATGGTTTCACTGTCACTATATCGGTCGGTGGAGTCTGGAAACTTGAATCTGGAGGAATTTTTTAAAAATAACGACAATATCTTTCCAATAGCCAACATCATTGATAAGTGAACGGAAAAAAGTGTTCTCATTTTTATTGCAGCAGTTAACAACAAAACAAATTACATTTTCAGCAGTTAGACATAATATCTCAATAATCCTCAAATTTATTTGCCGAAATGCTAACGAAAAAAAAGACACACAATGCTACAAAGGAATTCGAGAATGTATTTATAAAACCTTCAGCAGAAAAAGGTCTATGCAAATCTGCAGATCTGTTTTGGAATCCCCTGAAATCCAGGACCGTCTCCAAACCGATCCGCCATCTCCGCTCCATAAAATCCCAAACCCAGTTGCTCGAGCGCTGGTGGCACAAACCAGCCTCACGGTTCACCACCAAATTGAATCAAATATCACTGTATTCCACGTTTGTATCTCAAAATATTTTCACTCAACATTTTTACAGATATTCCACGAAGCATTATTTTGGTGCATTTTTGTGTACAAATCGTATCAAATATAATTTTCTGCACATTTGTACCTTATAATTTTATTTCATTCCACCTTTTTACAGACATTCCGTAAAGTGTTATTTTGGTGCACGTTTGTGCACAAATTGTATCAAAACTGATTTTACTCCACATTTGGACCTAAAACCACTTGCGATTTTACTTCACTTGCCATTTTTACAGATATCCATGGAACATTATTTTCATGTATGTTTGTGCACAAATTGTATCAAATCTAATTTTACTGTACATTACAACAATAACAACATCAAGATTACATTTGTATAGCGCCTTTCATGTCGGGAGGACGTCCCAAAGCGCTGGACTGAGTACAACATTTCAGACCCAAGCTGGGGTCGGGGAGGGGGAAAGGGAGGGGCAAGGGGGTGGCTGATGGCATGGTCGAAGAGGAGGGTCTTGAGGCGGGAGTTGAAGGAGGCTAAGGAGGGGTGAGCCAGAGTGACTGGGGGCTGGAATTCCAGAAGTTGGGGGCAGAGTGGCTGAAGGCTCTCTCGCCAATGGTGGGGCGGGTGAGTCGGGCGACGTGGAGCCTGTTCAGCCAACCGGCAGAGGGAACGAGCGAGTTGGTAGAGGGTTAGGAGGTCGCAGAGGTAGAGTAGGGCGAGGCCATGGAGGGCCTTGTATGTGGGGACCAGGATCTTGAACTGGATCCTCTGAAGGATAGAGAGCCAATGGAGTCGGGCGAGAATGGGGGAGATGGGGTCACAGAGTTTTGTGCGGCAGAGGACATTTTTACACCACATTTTTACAGAAATTTCACAAAATATGGCTTCTGCATGTTTGTGCAGAAATCGCTTCAAAAGTAATTTTACATTCTAAAATCACTTGAAATTTTATTTTAAGATATTTTACATATAGTCCATGAAATGTAATTCTGTTACATATTTGTACAGAAATCATCCATTCTGAAATCACTTCAAATGTTACTATTCTTGACAATTTTACCAAAATTCCATGAAATGTGGCTTTGTTGTATGTTTGTGCAGAAATCGCATCAAATGTTACTTTACTCAACATCTAAAACAACAACTCGCACTTATATAGTGCCCTCCATGCAGGATAGCATTTTGGAGAGCTTTCGAAATCACCAAAATCTTGCAAAATGACTTCAATTGTATTTCCAGACATTTTTATCAAAATTGCATGAAATATGGCTTTGCTGCACATTTGTGCAGGAATCGCATCAAATGTAACTTTACTCCACATTCATTTTGAAATCACTTCAAATGTTACCACACTGAATATAATATGTTTATGGAAATTCCATGAAATGTGATTATGATGGGGGCAAATGAATGTAGGATGGGGCTGTGATAGGAGCTGAGGGCAGTGTGGTGAGGGAGATGGAATAGGGTGGTGGTAGGCGACAGGGGGCAGAGGGATGAAGCAACCAGGCAGATGTTGTCAATTTTAGAGGTAAGAAAATCCATGACCTCTTTGCACTTCGCATTAAATGTGATGATTGAGGGTGCTTGAGGGAGCACACGTAGGAGGTGGTGGGCGGTGGAGAATAGGATTTTGGAGTTATTGTTGGCCTCCCATATGATGTTTGAGTACTGCACAGTTTTTGCTTGCGACAGGGAGCAGCGGTAGGTGTGAAGAAGCTTGAGCTGTATGTGCACCAAAATAACATTTCATGGAATCTCTGTAAAAATGTTGCGTTAAATAATATCGCAAGTAGTTTAAGGTATAAAGTGGAGTAAAATCAGTTTTACATCAGAATACATTAGAATATACAGCACAGAAACAGGCCATTCGGCCCAACTAACCCATGCTGGTGTTTATACTCCACATAAGCCTCCTCCTGCCCTTCCTCAACTAAGCCTTCAAACATGACCTTCTAGGTTTTGATACGATTTGTGCACAAACATGCACCAAAATAAAGTTCCACGAAATTTCTGTAAAACTGTTGAGTGAAACAAAATTACTTGTGGTTTCAGGTAGAAATGTGCAGAAAAATTAGATTTGACCATCATGCACAAATCTAATTTATCGAATTTCTGTAAAAATATCGAGTGAAATAACATTGCAAATGTTTTAAGCTACAAATGTAGAATAAAATAATATTTGATAAGATATTCCCAGAAACATGCACCAAAATAACGTTTCATGGAATATCTATAAAATTGGCGAGCGAAATAACATCACAAGTGGTTTTAGGTACGAATGTGGAGTAAAATGATATTTGATATGATTTACTCACAAACATGCATGAAATAGCATTTCGTGGAATTCCCATGAAAATGTTCAGTGAAAAAAAATTATCAACTACTCAAACAACAAGAACAACAACAACAATTACATTTGTATAGAGCTTTTCAAGTCAGGAGGATATCCCAAGGTTTGAAAACAGTATTTTGGATCCGAGCTGGGGGTCGGTATCGGGGAGGGTGGAGGGTAGGGTGGGAATGATGGTGATCAAAGGCACAGTCAAATAGGAGGGACTTGAGACGGATCTTGAAGGAGGCAAGGGAGGGGCGAGGCAGATCCAGCTGATTTTGAGGAAGTCCAGCGTCACCTCACAGTTGCCATTGGAGCAGTGGATGGGCCAGGCATGAGAAGGTGGGAGGAGGAGCTGGTTGGTGATGGAGAAGAGGAACCTGGGGTTGTCCTTGGTCTCCAAGATTGACTTGGAGTAGAAGAATGATTGAGCAGAGGTGAGGGCAAAGCAGTCACTTTTAATAAAGTCCAGCCAGATCTGGTGATGGACCATTAAATTAGATCTGAGCCACGTGGGTTCAGCAGCACGCACCTGTGCCTTGAGGAAGTGGAGCCAGCTGGTTGTACCATGGTGACTTCCATGAGTAGAAGGAGGTTCAGGAAGTGAAGGGAGCAAGGGCACCGAGAAAGGTGGAGAGGGCATTGTGGAAGAGAGTGACCGAAGGGGATAGGTCATTGCGGGAGGAAGCCCAGAGTAGGAGTTCAGATGACTCCAATGCAGCAAAGAGTAGGGGAGGAGATATTTTTCCAGGTGTGGTAGGAGATGGAGGTGCGTTGCATGGTGGTGGGGATTGAGGGATTGAGGAGTTAAGGGAGATGAAGTAATTGTCCAAGATCACTTTGTCAATGATGTTGGGGTCCGAGATGGTGAGGCCTCGGGCGATCACCAGGTCGAGGGGGTGACCGCAAAATGTGGGTGGCAAAGTGGATGTGGAGGGAGAGGTTAGAGGAGGAAAGGAGGGAGAAGTCAGCAGAGGTAGAGCAGGAGGGGCTGAAGTGAAGGTTGAAATCGCAAAGGATAACAACAACAACAACAACAAGATTCCATTTATAAAGCGCCTTTCACGTCAGGAGGACGTCCCAAGGCGCTGCACAGTTGGGTCATGACCCGAGCAGGGGGGAAATGGTCAGGGTGAGGGAAGGGAGGGAGCAAGGAGGGGGGAAATGGTCAGGGTGAGGGGAGGGAAGGGAGGGAGCGAGGAGGGGGAAGAGAGTCGAGAGGGGAGCTGAAGGCACGGTCAAAGAGAAAGGTTTTGAGACCGGCCTTGAAGGAGGAAAGGGAGGAAGCAAGGCGAAGGCACTGGGGGATGGAGTTCCAGAGCCTGGGGGCTGAGAGGCTGAAGGCCCGACCACCGATAGTAGGGCGGTTGGGGCGGGGGACGTGGAGCAGACCAGAGCCAGAGGAACGGAGGGTACGGGCAGGTAGGTAGGGGGATAGTAGGTTGGAGAGGTAGGAGGGAGCAAGGCCGTGAATGGCCTTGTAGGTGAGGATGAGGATCTTGAAATCAATCCTCTGGGGGATGGGGAGCCAGTGGAGGCGAGCGAGGGAGGGAGTGATGTGGTCCCGAAGCCTGGTGCGGGACAGTACACGAGCTGCAGAGTTCTGAATGACCTGCAGCTTGTGGAGGGAGGTGGCGAGAAGGCCGGCGAGGAGAGAGTTCCCATAGTCCAGCCTTGAGGTGACAAAGGCGTGGACCAGGGTTTCAGCAGCGTGAGGGGTGAGGTAGTGCCGTAGTCTGGCGATGTTCCGAAGGTGATGGAAGGTGGTGCCAGTTGTAGTGTAGTAGGAGGTGCTTGGAGCAGAGGGAGCAGTGGATGGGCCAGGCATGATCAGAGGGTGGAGATGTCGGGGAGTAAGATAGTGGGCTTGGGTGGGAGGGGGGCGATAGATAAGGAGAATTTTAAGGGAAAGTTTGGAGGAGTGATAAAGGAGGGGAAGGCTCCGTAGTAGTAAGGGAAAAGGTCAAATGGGGCCGGGAATTGAGAGCCACACTGCCACCAGCACCAC